CAGCTTCTGCTGTCTTCTCCAGTGCCGACACGGCCTCACCTCGCCGCTGCAGTGCGTTCAGCGCACATTGCTCCTCGCCGGCGCACTCGTCGTCGAGGCTCAGCGCTTCTTGGCCGGCGGCCACCGCAATCAGCGCCGCCGCGATCACACGGGCAGCCATGCGGTAAAAGCTATGAACTAGTAAGCTAGTAGAGGAGAGGCCCGATGGCCCACAAAAAGCACTTTTAGCGGATCCGAAAGTCTCCCTGGAGACTTAGGCCGAAAGACCAAGTCGGTGCAGCTACGAGTTCTGGGCCTCACATGCAAACAAGGCTCTCAAGAGCGCACTCCTGCCCATAGCCAAACTGCACTGAAAAGTCGCGGGCAGTGTTTTCCGCTGACAAAAGCACGCTGCTCCACGTTTGAGCAGCACTTACACGCTCTAAGCTGTGGAACCACCCAGAATAGGCATCATGTCCCAATGTATGCAAATCCCTAACCCTAACCCCTAAACCCTAAACCTTACAAGCCCTAAGCCCTAAACCCTAATCCCTAAACCCTACAAGCCCTAAGCCCTAAGCCCTAAACCCTAAACCCTACGACATTATAACCCGAAAGCTCCGAACCTGACGCAAGTCTTCGCAGTGCTCAGGCGAGGCATACACCGTCGCATCTTGATCTCGTAGCCATTCCTTGAGGGTTTAGGGTGTAGGGTGTAGGGCTTTGTTTAGGGTTTAGGGCCTAGGGTTTAGGGATTAGGGTTTAGTCTAGGGTTTAGGGTTTAGTTTAGGGTTCAGGGCGCCGGGTTGACGTTGTTTAAATCCTGAGCCCTGAAGGCTCTGAACCCGAAGCCCCAAGGCCCTATAGACTATTAGGGTTTAGGGTTTAGGGTTTAGGGTTTAGGGTTTAGGGTTTAGGGACCCTTAACCGACAGACCATAAGGCCCTAATCCCTAGACTCTGTCAGCTGCTGCGGTGTTTAAGTCTCGCTTTGTGGTTCCGTCATCCAGGAAAGTTTGTCAGTTTTGGCTGATCTGTCCAGGTACAAAACGCTTCGTCTAGGGTGCATTCAGGGCTGGTTGAAGACTTATGTGGTACAGTACTACAGCAAAAATCTTCTATACTATCTATAATACAATAATCTACTACTACCTACCATAATATATACTGCTATCTCCAAGAATATACTGCTATGACAAGAATTAAAGTGCCTGAATCCAAAGAGCTCGTAAACTTCCAGAGGCTGGCAGGATGTTTGGCCAAGCAATCCAGACCCCTGTCAGACATACCCTACACACGTACTACCTGTAGGTTTTAGGGTCTTGGGCTTTAGGGGTTTAGGGCTTTTGGGGTGTAGGGTTTTAGGGCGTTGGGGGTTTAGGGTTTAGGGGTTGAGGGTGCTAAACATCCGTCTAAGTTCTGAGCCCAAGAGGCCTTCCACCCAACCCTACAGCAAACTCCGAGTTGCCAGCAAGATAGGGTTGAGGGTTTAGGGTTTAGGGTTTAGGGTTTAGGTGGACATGGGAAGTTCTCTAAATTAGGGTCCCGTTTTGGGTCCTTTCTCTAAGGATGCCGTACTATACTGGGGGCCTAAGAAGGTACCCTAATTTAGAGAACCGCCCACATGCAGAGAGCCAACTACTCCATGCTTGTTTACAGGCTGGGTACTATCGCTTTTGGGTTCAGGCCCTAAACCCTAAACCCTAAACCCTAAGGCTATGAGAGCGGCTTGCGGATTGTAGGGTAATAGGAGGGGTTTCCGGACTAAGGCGGTTGGTGCTCAGGATGTCGAAGCTTTACCCATAGGCCCCATCGTAGTTCCTTTTTGGGGGTTCATCTTTAGACTCGGGTTTAGGGTTTAGGGTTTAGGGATGTTTAGGGTTTAGGGTTATAGAATCCTATAAGGTAATCCCAAAAAAGAACCACTATGGGGCCTATTGGTAGGGCTTCTGGGTTCCCAAGCCATCTGGAAATCACCATCATAAGGCATGCAAGTCTCCAGCTGAGGGGGATGAGGATCAGCCCGGCTTGCTTACCATTTACGCCTTGGGGTACACCGTGCGAGTCATGATCTCGTAGCCATTCCTCAGGCATGGTTCCGATTAGATGCAGGGCTTCAACACTGCTTCACATGCTCAGCATGACGAAGCCCAGTCGCCAGTTGATTGAGGTGATGAGGATGGACGTCTTGGAGATCAAGAGATCGTAGAAGCCGTACTGCGCCTCACCGTACCAGTCCTTGGATGCTTGCTCGCCATGCATGGCCCAAGCAGTGTGGCTCTCTGCATCTATCTCACCCCTTGCTGACCGAGCCACCCTCTTGTTGTGGATATTCGGGGTGGCTTCAGAAGAGATTCCTCCACCGCCGCCGGTCACGAAGCAGGTGAGTCCCCCCAGCCTACAAAGCATGCAGAGTGGCTTTAGATCTTTTAGTCAGCTGGCTCCGGCCTATTTGGACTCCAAAGTTCCTGGTCGTGTCGGTGTCCGGTCACGAGCAGGTCCAGTCCGTGCCTGCAGATAGAGCTTTGATGATTGCCCAAACCACGATGCCGCAGCCGCTTTTAGCCAAGCCACTGCTGGTGCAATCCCGCCTGCAGGAGCAGCAAGGAAAAAAAGGCACGAGCCTTCGCGTGAA